ATCAATAATCAGTAGGTTTTATCGATCCTTTGCTCTTCATTCAACTCTGCCTCTGACATCACCGCACACAGTGATGATGTCTAGAAACCTGAGTGTTATTTGCATTACAGTTTGATGAGGTAAATCTCCTCTTTTTCACTCTGCTGTGGTGCAGAAGAAAGCAGCTCCCTCTGCTGGATCTTAGAAGGAACTGCAGCTGTAACAGAAAGAACCAACATCTGAACCAACATGGAAATGGGACTCTTACAGAGAGCTGCTTTAACAAATGCAAAACTTAAAATGATATAAATTACAAAAGTTTAAAAAATAACTTACAGGATGAGTGTAAGACATTAATTATAATTTCTTGTCATGTTATTTAAATGCAAAAACAGTCTGTGCTGAGCTTATAATTTTCTACAGAAGCTCAAATAGGACAAGCAAACCTTTCTTTTTTTTTTTCTTCAAAGAACTAATACTGGATACCAGATTACACATTCCAGTGTCTAAATAGAGAATTTGCATTTTCTGAGTAAATGCAGCAGGAATACTTAATGCTGAAAGATTTTAGCTGAAGGCTGCTGAAGCAGTAAAGAAGTTAGAAACAGAAAGCAGTTGAAAGAAGCACAAAACCGTTTAAATTAGCAGAAGAATAGCAGAATGATATGATGAATATATCTGAACGATAGCTAAAATAGCACAAAAAAAACTAAAATGAGCAAAATAGAGTAAAGATTTATGAGTATTATGAAGGGTTTTGAGGATGCTGAATACAGCTCCATTCATTTTACATGAGGAAAAAAAGTTACAGAAAAAGGTAAATATCTCAAAAAGTATAAATTGCTGGGATACCAAAAGTCGTTGCTGGAATGTCCTGAAGATGCTGATACTGTATATAAATAGTTGAAATAGCATAATAATTGCAAAACAAATTCTAATTCAATTCAAATTACTTTATTGATCCCAGAGGGAAATTACATGTTGTTGTAACACATTTGACTAAAGACTTGATGTCTTTAGTTATGATGTCTTATGTCTGACTTGATGGGTGGCAAGTGTCACGCCTTGCAACTGCCTACACCAGGTGTCACCCCCAAATGACTGACAAGTGGGGGTGGGGATCGCATGTAGCAATAAAATATGGTCAGTTTAGACAAAAATAGAGTTAATATATGTCAAGCACCTGTAATATCTGAGGTCGAAGATACTCAGTGTGTGAAGTTAAAAAATTACTTTTCTAAACCACTGAATTAATATAAAGCAGAAATTCCACCATTGATTTGATTTAGGTACATTATTTATTTATGACTAATAAACATGTATAAATGTCATAAGGGAGCCTTATAAATAGTGTACTGTTTTCTAATTTACAATAAGTATCCCTTTGAAAATTGTGGATATGTATAATGTAATACAGGACAATATTATAAGTAAAACATCTGTTTCCAAATCATTATTATGCTTGTAACATAGTCTGAAATGCTTTAGATGTAATATGTACATGAACAGATTTGGCTCACTATTTGTCAAGAAACCAGACAGTTTTGTCTCTTTCTCATCCTTAACTAATGCATAATAAACATTTATTAATGACTTATAAGGTGTTTACAATGAATTAATAACATTTCTATAAACTATTTTTAAGCCATCTATAACAGGAGCCTTACTGTAAAGTGGTACAGGAGGAATTATGCTGTCTCTTCACTTCGTTTATACTCTGTCAGGAAAAAGTATCCGAAATGATGCAATCATCGACCCGCTGTCTATTGAAGTATTAGTGTAAATCAGGTTTGACCAGAGATTTAACAAACATTTCTCTGGACCTAACAGAGATGCAGCTGTAACTTTAAAAGCACTGGATAAGCCTATTAGCCAATCAGAAAGAGGGTGGGGGCAGGTGTGTCTCAGCAAAACTTATTTGTTAGAACAAGTTTGAAAAAAAAAAAACTAAAGACAATATTCTGCAGGGTCGACCTTCAGATCATCACATTGATTTTTTAAAATCTGTGTGATCAACACAACAAACAGCCCTGCATTAAAATCATCTAGGACCCTGTTTATGAATCTCCTGCATTTCTGAAACCCCTCTCTTCACAAAACCTGTGCTTTTAAAAACAAAACCCCTTTCTGAAATCACCACAACATCTGCTGATCGATGTAAGTGAAAGAACATTGGAACGAGATGACACCAAGTACTCTTGTTTCATCTAAGTAAGACTCCATTTCTGGCTCCAGTTTCCTGTCCTAAAAGTGTCAGAACCGCCACTTTCTGATCAATTTACATCCTGGGACACAAAACTCTCCTCAAGGCATGTTTTCTCTAACAAGAACGGTTTTTCTCAAAAGTTTCATTAAAATTCCTTCACTGTGACTGCCTGTAGTAATAAAAAAAAACCTGTTATTTTTGTATCAAAATAGTCTGTTTTTATCTACAAAAGAAAAGTGATTAACAATGTTTTTACTTTCAGATCTGAGAAGGTTGTCTGAGGTCAACTAATGTTATAATCATATAACACTCAAAGTCCTTTAAAAGTTATCCTGTGTGTATCAGCTCGTCATGTTTTAAACTATGCCTTATTAATGAAAAATAGTTCTTATTTTAGGAGTACTAGCTATCCTTCTGTTATCCAAGTAATGTTTTCTTAGTGACATATTAGCAAATGAAAAAAACTTCCAAATGTTTGATTAAATTGTGTATATGTGAAAACTTTCTGTTGTACACAGTTCACTACTATCTCCTGCTTAAAAGTTTTTACGCCTTGTCTTGAAGGAAAAGATGTTTAAATGTGGATACAAACGTTTGTCTGAGTTTTGAAAGATGAAACCCTGCGTGCACATTGGTTAAAACCACAGTAAAGCTGCTACCTCTTTATGACGTATAGTCCTATGATTGGATTAACTAACGTGGAAGCTCCGCCTCCCAGAACCTTTAAAACCACAGGTGTACACACTGCTAACTCTCTTACTCTTATCTTAGCTCTTCTCTTCCCTTGGACTCTCCACGTCCCTTGGCTCCTAGTCCTCCGGCTCCATGGTTCCTCAGGGCCCATAGGCCTGTCTTCCAGCTACCCCGTGTTGGGCCTCACCTTTATTCTTCACTGCTTTTATGTAATTTTGTTAGAAATTCCATCCAAGTTAAATGTGCCGACTCAAGACCTTGGGTTTGAACTTTCACAGTAAAGTAAAGTAAGTTAATTGTAACTCAACCTAACCTGTCCAGAGTCTCAGAATTAGTGTCAAGATGAGGCCCAAGAGTTTTACTTTCACAAGCGCAGCATAATAGTTTTCACGATGATGCTACACAATATACAGCATTTTTAAACTTTTTTTAGAAATTCTTTTGAGATTATTTAGATATAAACAGATGTGAAGACAGAAAAGAAAACAAATGAAAAAGCTAAAGGTGAAGAAAGAGAATACAAAGGGAAACAAGGACATAAGAGAAGACAAAGAGGCATAAACACAAGACACCATATCTGTAGTCTGCCTCTACACCTGCAACAAGAGAGAGAACAAAACAAAAACACAGCAACAAATAACGTGTATATAATAATAATTATAGCCTCAATGAAAAGTACATGTATAATATTATGAGAGAAAAACTATATGTATAAATAAATAAATACATAAATGTATTTAGTGGCCAACGAAGTGTATCAGAGAAACACCTGGATCTGAACACCTGTTTGTGTGTCTTTTTGACTAAATAAACCTTATAAACATGTGGTTGTGAGCATGCTTATTATATAAGGTTTCTCCACAGGAATGTTTATTAGTGACTGTGGAGACCCACAGACCTGATCCCCAAGGCCTGAGGCAGACATGAGGAAAACCAGAGCCAAAGGCACCTAGAGGGACCCCAAGCACGGAGCCCCCAAGGGTGCCAGTGTATGAAG